CCCTCCACGTGTCGTTGTGAGGTAGAGGAAAGGCTGCCGTCAGTCGCATATCCGTCTGGCGAGATTTCCATAAGCACATTAATTCCAAGAAGGGGAGAAAGAGGACGACCCTTCGTCTGACATAGTTTCTATAAGGCTAGATTGCAGGAGGAGGGGAATGCCAGGCACTGGTGATTGCTCGTACTGGCACAATATTTTTGGATAAATACTTTCTTTCTTTGTTTGTTGTCCTGAGGAGCTGTTGTATTGCCTATGTGAGTGCCTCCTCTGATCACTCCCCCTAAGTGGGTCACCCTCAGCCTTACTGGAGAAGAAACTACCAATATCGGAGAGTGAAATGACACAGTTTAGAGAAAAGAGAATTCTTTGACTGGTTGATCACAAAAGTCACAGATCATGTCTAGTGACTATAGAGCAGTGCTGAACTAACTAGATTTGTGGAAACTAGCGACTTCACTACAGTATCTCACAACTGTTCTTGTTTGATGCAAGAAGGGAAGTATTTGGCAAGATTAAGGATAGACGGCGCCATGCTCCTGGCTGGCGTGATTTTGTTGACGATGCGAAGAGACTGCAAGAGAGAATAAGTGGTTTATTTTCTGACAGCCTTGAATGTAACTACAGAAGTTTACTTATGCCTTACTGTGTTAAGGACTCAAGATTTGTGTTCAAGACAGTTCAAACATTCATACAATCTGTTGGGAGGAATGATTGGGTTTGGCCATTATAACAATATCATAAGCGTTCGTGTAGGACCACAGGAATCTGAAGAGTTGATAGGAATGATGTGTAGGTCATTACTATGGAGTAAGATGAGGGTAGGAGCATGATGTGCGCCTGAGTTACTCCATCATTGATAAGGAGAGAGAGAGAGAGAGATCCAAGGAATTATAGAATCGGGAAGATTAAAGAGGGAAATTTAGCGAGGAAATCCTGCTTGCTACCAGACCTCATGGAAAGTTTTTGAAGTATAAAGAGCAACAAAATAAGATTCGCCAAAATTATCTAAGCACAGTAAAGGTTTTGAGTCGAGCTAACAAACCAAACAAGTCGGCAATGAAATGAAAATTATCCTGGGTGTTGGAGATAACAAGTGTCCTTCAAGGTGTCTGAATTAATATACTTGTTTGTGATAGATTCCAATACTTTAGAGATGATCGAGTAAGAGTGGCAGTAGTTGGGGTGAGAGAGACAGTAGTTCGGGTGAGAGCCAGTAGTTGTGGTGAGAGAGGCAGTAGTTGGGGTGAGAGAGACAGTAGTTGTGGTGAGAGAGACAGTAGTTGTGGTGAGAGAGACAGTAGTTGGGGTGAGAGAGACAGTAGTTGTGGTGAGAGAGACAGTTGTTGTGGTGAGAGAGACAGTAGTTGGGGTGAGAGACAGTAGTTGGGGTGAGAGAGACAGTAGTTGTGGTGAGAGAGAGAGTAGTTGTGGTGAGAGAGACAGTAGTTGTGGTGAGAGAGACAGTAGTTGTGGTGAGAGAGACAGTAGTTGTGGTGAGAGAGACAGTAGTTGGGGTGAGAGACAGTAGTTGGGGTGAGAGAGACAGTAGTTGGGGTGAGACAGAGTAGTTGGGGGTGAGAGAGACAGTTGTGGTGAGACAGACAGTAGTTGTGTGGAGAGACAGAAGTTGGGGGTGAGAGACAGTAGTTGGGGTGAGAGACAGTAGGTGAGAGAGACAGAAGTTCGGGTGAGAGACAGTAGTTGTGGTGAGAGAGACAGTGGTGAGAAAGACAGTAGTTGGTGAGAAAGCAGAGAGAGAGACAGTAGTTGGGGTGAGAGAGGAGAAGAAAGACAGTAGTGGGGTGAGAGAGACAGTAGTTCGGGTGAGAGACAGTAGGTGGTGAGAGAGACAGTAGTGAGAGGTTTTGGGGTGAGAGACAGAGAGACAGTAGTTGGGGTGAGAGAGACAGTAGTTGGGGTGAGAGAGACAGTAGTTGGGGTGAGAGACAGTAGTTGGGTGAGAGAGACAGAAGTTGTGGTGAGAGACAGTAGTTGTAGTGAGAGAGACAGCAGTTGGGGTGAGAGAGACAGTAGTTGGGGTGAGAGACAGTAGTTGGGGTGAGAGAGACAGTAGTTGGGGTGAGAGAGACAGTAGTTGGGGTGAGAGAGACAGTAGTTCGGGTGAGAGACAGTAGTTGTGGTGAGAGAGACAGTAGTTGTGGTGAGAGAGACAGTAGTTGGGGTGAGAGAGACAGTAGTTGTGGTGAGAGACAGTAGTTGTGGTGAGAGAGACAGTAGTTGGGGTGAGAGAGACAGTAGTTGGGGTGAGAAGATGGATCACCTTTTGGGGAAATAGACTGGATATTGACATTTTCCAAGATGATGCTATAGTACTAGAGGAGGAGGAGAGATTGGAAGGCTTAGATAAGACTACAGCAGTCCAGATGCATAATTTTTGTGGATGAGGGGCGGTATAGGATGAGAGTGGCAGTAAATATTAAGTGGGTAGAAAATGTAGGTGGTAGCGCGGAGTGGGATGAAATTAAAGCAGATACAGAGATAAAAGCTTTTACTAGGATCAAGAGCTGAATTATGAGCAGCCCTGGAACAAGGTCGGCTGTGGTGGCTGGTGTAAGAGCAGTGTAGACAGAAAAGTTGTCGTAAAAGGTTTTGACTCCTGACAAACATCCAGAAAGATATGACCATTGCTGGGTTCAGAAGGAAGTACTTTTATTTTGAACTGAAGGAAAGATTTTTTTGTTTTGTTGACAGAATTTTTATCATTCTTCCGTTCGGTGTTGTATGTGTTGTAAGTTTCTTCGTATGTTTGTTTATGTTTCCAGCGTCAGCAGGAGTCTTGTTTGAGTGTATTTGCTCTTTGGCTCGAGAACCTGAACCAGGGAGACGACACAAGATAAGGATAGGTTGTTAGAAACAAATCTAGAGTGTTTGGTGTGGGCAGTGAAGGTTTCAACACCAAGTCTCTCTACATTTGTCCGAGAGTTGGTGAGTCGGGGAATTTGTGTACAGTGAAATCACCAAGCGTGATAACTTTAACATAAATGACATTTAAAAGTCAGTTAACTAGTATGCTGATAAATTAGGTAGAAAAGTATAAGATGCAATAAAAATGGGGAGACCAAACAAGTGGAGTATAGTAGACGTGAAGTCTAAGTCACTCTAGCAGCAGGCCAGGGCTGGTCGAACATATGGCGGTAGACAGGAGACAATTACAAACTGTCATCGTTAGTGTCAGGCTCAGGAGTAGAGTTGACGGTACAGATAATGGCAACTGAACTAGCAAGTGGTGACTTATATTAGTTTGGGACGGAAATTAATTTACTGGGCTCAGAAGATACCTGAAGTTGGGTTGATGGTTCAGTGGAGGAGGTAGTGAGCTTTGCCAAGTGGTGGCAACACCTACCTGGGTAATATCGGGGACTTAAATGTAAATGACTTTGTATGAGTCGTAAGCCAAAATCAGGCATGTAAAGCAAAGTCACTCAATGGGTACAGTATTAAGAGTGTTTGTAGAAACTAGTAGATGAGATGTGCTTCAAGTTGTTTGTCCCTTTACTTGAACATGTTGAAAAAAGAGTGCAAGTGTTCGTCACTTAATATCTGATGATCTTTAAACTGAGTTTGTATTCTCTTTTCCCAAATACAAAATAAAACACCTTTCCAAATGTGAAAACCATCACCCCGCGGTGGTGACGGTGTTCGAGATCTTTGAAAGATTTTCTCCAAACTGCAAACCATTAATCTGTGCCCCAAAATGGTCACTATGTAGCTGTAAATCCTCCACATAAAGGAAGTTGTACATTACAGCAGCAAGGCAAGCTCCCGATTCTACAAATTCTCCTAGACAACTGGGAAGCATTTCACAGAGCCAAGTACTGGAAACTATTGCTCAACTGATGGACTGAAAGGTGCCAACTTATCTCGTAAATTTCTCAATCTCTGAGTATAGCGATCAAGAGACGAGTGTGTAGGAGGGTAATACTGCCTCACTGATGTTCCAATTGTCAAAGAGGATTTGTTAAAGTGGAATTTTCTCGCCTAACTAAAAAATTCTTCATACTGAGAAAGTAAACTCGATATTCAGTAGAGAGAAGTTTGTCTGCCATATATCAAGTAACTTACACTGATGATAACTGTTCCCTTGACCCTGTGATCTTAACTCTTTGGGTCATTTGATAACTAAAGAAATTATCGTTGTATTGACCCTCTTTAGAGTACAGCGAGTAGGCTTTTGTTTTCTAATATTAATGAAAGTTGTAAATGATGTTACTTTTTTACATTATTTGGTCATCTTATTTTCTTCTTCAATTTTTAAGAGATTCTAGAAGATTAATGTAGGATTGACAGGTGTGTGAACAAGATAAGGCCATATCTTACCTGTGATGGGCGGTACACTGACTTCATTTGCATATATATCTTCTATTTATACATTTTACTCGCCTTTGTTTTTGTGTTTACTTAAATTAATCATATTTCTTTAAATTTTCGTTGATTTCTTGTTTGTTTGTTTTATTTGTTTTAAATTCTCATATTTATTCATGATTTCTTAAGCTTCTCCGCCATTGATCATTCTATTTATTTTGTTTATTTTATAGTTACGGAAGCCAAACAACCTTGTCTATAATTGGTTACTTAAAGGAAGTGTAAACATAAGGTATAATTTCACAATGTGGCTCACGACTTTAGCTCAGGTAAATATTGAGTACTCACACAATGCTTAGTTAATGACTATCTCCCCTTAATAAAATTTGCTATACCAGAATCTAGCTTACTTAACTCGAGCTACAATACTTTAGGGCATAAAAACACAGATCCTGTATTTACTGTGTTAACATTTGCTAGTCTAAACAAACAAAAGTGCATAAGTCATAAATGGTATTATATATTTTTTTTTAGTTAATTTAGTCTACTTTCAGACACCGTTAGATGAAGAAAATCACTGGCGCTGAGGAGTTATTTTATACCCTATCATCTTGTACGCTGCGATTTTGTTCGGTGGTGTTTCATCAGGTGGGAGTTCGTTCGATGGGATTTTGTTGTTGAATTTTTTTTTTAATTTTCAAATGGAATCTGTCCACTTCATATCTTGTTGTGAAAGTGTTATTTGGTCCCTGTACCTTCTGGGATGTCGAGGAGGAAGCATCATCACCTTGTTGTCGTTGGTGGACGCCCCAGGCCAGACTTAACCCACTACAGGTCCCGACGGCAGCATCAAGGCTCACTGGAACACAGACAGGGTTCCTAGGGAGTTGTACTTTCATTTTCGTCCATTAGTTTCGGTGTTAAGGAAACACATCTAGTTATGATAGGCTGTTTCAACACCATTGTAACTCCCAACTTGGTGGTGAAGCTTGATAAATTAGATGCGTTCAGGGACGAGGGACATTTACTTAGGATTTTTTTTAATTATGACATGTTTGAGACAGACTGCAATTTTAACAAAGATTCTCAAAACAATAATTTTCTGTGCTCAGGAGCATGGCTGGTCGGTCCTGGAGAGTGGTGAGGTTACAGTTCATCTCTCAGGGCAACCTTGACAGGTTTGCGTAGAGGTAAGTCATCGGAGTGACCAGGAAGTGGGGTGCCCCTTGTGGCAGTGAAGGACTGCCTCTCTCCCTGCGTGGCCCTCAGCCAGTGGTGAGCGAGGCGAGACACCTTCTCCGGGTGCAAGATGACGTTCTCCAGTAGCGGCAGCGATGACCAAAACTCCCGAACCTGGTGTAAGACAGAAAAGAAAATGGTAAAGACGAGGAGACGGGGAAAGAGTGAAAGAAGGGGAAGGAATATGAAGGGTACAGTAGTAGTGTTAGTATTGATGCCCCAAACCTTGTTAGTATAGTTTAACAATATTCCCAAACCTAACCGTATAATAAAGTGATTGGTACCCGAAATATAATAATAAAGTGATGCCCCAAATCTTTATCTTGATCAAGGTTCAGAGACAGGGTGCTAATAGACATTCTCTTATATATACCGTAATGGCTATTTACCGATTATATCAGAGTTTGACTTGGTAACAATGATGTAGGCTAAACATAATAAAACTACCTGTATAAATGAATAGTATCAACATTAACCTTACCTGATCCGAACTAAATCTAGCCGAATCGAACCTGACTTTGTCAAATTTACTATTGTTAAAATATAAGCAAATGGCATCTTCAATTATATAAAAAAATACCAATTTACAAATGGTGAACAAATTCCAATCCCTGCACTAACGCAGGTGGGACTTCATTAATCATCTACCTTTAAAATATGAGAATATTATTAACAGTAGTGGGACTCACTCACCTGGTGCCTAGAGTAGCGAGTCATGGTGGGCTCCACCTTCAGCTCCAGGTGTTGGTTGTTATGCTCACTGAAGGGCCCCCATCTGAACCCCAGTGAATCGTCGGGAGTCGGGTTTCTAAAATAGAGAAAACGAAGTTAGTTTCAATATAATTTCCATTCAAGGGAAATTTTTAGGAAAGTATTAACAACACGTTATTTATTTTTAGAAAGTCGTGAAAGTGTAGTTTTGTGTGTGTGTTTTTTTTTTTTTTTTTAATGAGAACTAAGAAGGTTTGAATATACCGAATTTCTTAAAGGAAAGCAGTGAATCTGACATTTTTTAATAAAAAATTCGGGTATATTTATAGTTTTCAAAAGGAGTCACAAACGTTTAAATGTAGTTTATTGAAGGAGAGAGTCCAGAGGTTTCATTCATTCAAAACTGCATTCATATAAAACGTAACCGAAGCTTTACAAGGAAACTTTCATGATTCGCATAAAGAATACACACACACACACACACACACATGTAATTAGCCTGAACTAAACTAAACATTAATTTCATCTCGTAATCAAAGAGCCAAGTCTTCATTACATGTTATTGGACCTGTTATGTGTGTGTATGTGAGTGTGTGTGTATGTGTACTGCTCCTCTGTTAATGGCTGTGTTGTTGTGTTATCGAGGTTCAACATTTTTATGTGATCTTGAGTGAAACGTGTTCCAGTGATTCATGTTATCTTGGGTCTCTGCATCTCTCCTCTGGCCTCCACCTTTTCCCCTTAACACTTCCTTTCACTGCCAACCACCTCTTTGGTTTTCTACACCATTCCATTGCCCTCTCTCTCTCATACAACCCTCCATTATCTCCCCTCCTTCTCTTCCGTCACCCCCACCTCATCTTTGAGATTAAAACGGAGATTCGCTTTGACCACTCAAGGCTAACACCTGACTACCTAATGAGCCAAGGCCTACCCAGTAAGCGATGACTGCTTGGTCCCCTGCACTATTAAACACTTACTTAGGAGGTGGCATCTCTCCGGGACTCAGGAAGGATGGTTACTAATGACTATTCTGGTTATTGAGTAAATGTCTCATTTCCAGAGGCTGAATTTTTAACTTTATAATTTCAGAAAATATAACGTAGCATTAAACTATTTTGCCATAGTCAAATATTATAAGTATGTGTTTTTTCTGTGATTTTGTTGGGTATTATTATTTCTAAATTCAGTAAAACCATCGCATTCTATCTGTTACAACACCAGACGAACTATATACAAATAATCAATCAACCACCTGCTCTTCTACACCTCTAGTCCTCTCCATCACTCCTCCGCCAACCTCGCGACCAACACAATATTACCCGGTGGCAGCAAAGTTGATCCACATCTTGATGATAATATCACTCAGCCGGATGTCGTCATCTCTCTCCAACGGGGGGAAGAGCGACGCAAGCAAATTTGTAGATGTAGAACAGGTCGTCACTATGACCTACCCTGAGGACAGTATGAGGCAAGAGTTACTGGTGGCACTTTGATGGGCAATGGCGTCACTCGGCAACACTTTTGCATTTATTAACTAAACAATGAAGACTATGTCGCTTCTGTGAAAGCTCAAATCTTAAAGCATTTTGCTACGCGCCTGTTGCGGTAGAGTTCTTGTTCCAGAGAGAGCAGTCTCAGCACTCAAGAGAACACATCAGTTCTCTTGAATGTTAGGCACACAAACGCAATATCGTATATTAGGTGATCGAAAAGTCCCTGGACAACTGCGATAATTAACACCTTACATTATCATAAGAATTACAAGTTATATTGTTAATAACAGCAGTGAGTAAGGAGTTTTCCATCACCCTGAACAGGAAACTTTTTTCTGGCTTGTGATTCCTTATGTCCCGGAATATAAACAGCCTCTAACATTACACAGCGTTGTATACAACGCAAATATTCATATTCATGATTAAATGAGTTACAAATAAACAGAAAAACTAACTAATATTAATTTACTTTAATCAGTAGGAGCTTAGCCTTGAAGAATACGTAGTTGGCGATAAAATGCCTGTGTAGTAAGTTTACTGAAGTCTAGTTCTCTGAGAATTTATTTGTTAAATCAATACCAAATCCAAAACATAACTTCTTTTGATCCAGTAAGGTTTAATTCACAAGTAAATTATCTATTGGGAGTATCTCCAGTGAGAAAGTATCCAGTCGAAAACTGTCCTGCAGGTAAAATGTCCAGTGGTTATCTAATTGGTCTGGAGAGGTGAATTTTCACTTGAGGACACCACCAACTTACAGTCTATGCCAAATCCAGTTTGTCCTTGTTCATGTCCTCTAATGAGAACTGGCCCCTGTGGCTGAAGAGGTAGGAGAACACCTTGTTGTGGGCTGGCAGTGCAGTGGGCCAGGGTGCTCCGTCGTCTCCTCGCTGTGGGCAGCCGGAAGTGTCGGTCAGTCATCATCCGCGGGGAGTAATTTCTCTTAGTCTGTTAAGTATTTAGTTGCTGGTGAACTTAAATAATGATGACAATTTTGAATTTAACGAGAGTTGGTTTAATTTGTTTAACGAGGACAATCTTTCCAGCTTCTTGACAAGGAAATTTTTATCTTAACAAAGAAAACTTTCTAATTTAACGAGAAATATCTTTGTCGGTTTAATGGAGGCTTTTTACTTTAACTAGAATAACACAATATTATCTCTTTGTCCTGCAGGTGCTGGAGAAGGCTGTGCACGCCAGCAGACCCGTCTTAATGAACGCATTCCTAATGGACCCAATCTTGTGGTCAAGAAGTTTCACCCCCAGTAATAGCGGCAGCGTTGTCGACTGTCACGGTGGAGCCTCCCAGGTAATACCTTGAAGATCCTCTTGGTCTGGGCTTGCGATGTCCACGTCGCCAGCCCGAACTCCAGTGAGATGGGGGCGACCACAGAGAAGTTGGTGCTGTAGCCACAGCGCGGCTTCGTTGAAGAATATATCTATGGTATCGGAGAAAACATATCCTACAGGGTGATAATAGCAGCTATATGGAGAGAATACTAACATAATCTTCTAATATCGTGGAGAGAACAGGAGGACAGGTATTTGACTGGTCACCAAAATGTGCTTGTATTATCTTAATGGCAGCCACTTGTTCCTGGTGTTATGTACAGTATATCACATACGATTGAGATGGACAACTCATATCGTCATTGACGTGGTTCTGCCGTCACGCATCAAGGAGAGCTTGGAAATAGGGTAGTGTATCTGCGGTTTTTATCTGAACTTATACGTTTCAACAGTGTGTTATGGTTATACGATCATTTCATTAATACTAGTTACTAGAATAGGTGTAAATCTTGAATATGAATATCTAGGATTCATTTGGAATTTTCCTGCCAAAACCGATGGGGATAAATGGGCCAAATGCAGACAAGGACAATACTTAATTTTTAGAAGACAACTGGAAGCGTCCTACTATGAGTCATGAGGCTGCTGTCATGTCGCATCACCCCAGAGAGATGATGTCAACATCCTGGTGCCTCCCCATCCTTCAGCATCCGGGCGAGGTCGTCCGGCAAGAAGTCCCCATCCACACGAGGACCGAATAGGAAAGGATGCATCCACCCTGCCTGATGGACGAAGAACACCCACTGAGACCAGAGGAAGTACTTACTCTCACAATTCTAATGTAGGATAATGACTTTTTACATTTTGTAAATAGAATACAGATAGGATAAAATTACCGTTTACTCTTGCTAAGTTAGCAGCACTACAGTCCTTAATGTGCCCGGAATAGGGCCGGAAAATGTACCTTTAATATATCCATAGGCTCAGCACTTGTCCGGTGGACAAGATAATATTTGGAGGAAAAATTCTGATATGTTACTTTACCTTTCATAAATTGATGGTTAGCAAATTTCCTCCGTACTGTCAGTGTAAATAATTTTGGGCGTACTTGGTCCGGGACAAGTAAATCTGCTCAGCTTGCTGTATTGTATAAACTGGAAAGTGAGCGCCTCACCATCAGAGACCAGGTAGGGTGGTCAGGTTAGAGGGGCACTTCCTGCAGACACTGGAGGAAGGCTCGAGTATTGTAGAGGTCTGGATTAATTCCAGAGACGCGTCCAACGTATTGGGCCACCTCCCTGTGGGCGCTGCTACCCCTCGCCCATATGGACACAGAGCTGCCCCTGACCGCATGACAGCCTGAGAAAACAGTCCTGCAGAAAGAGCAATGTGCTACTGCTGTTAGTCCAGTAGTATAGTCAATGGTAGTTATTACTAACCTCCATGTAGTTTTAAGCCGCCCACTTTGGCTGCTGTGAGGGCTTAGTAACTGGTAGTGAATGGGTCAGAGGTCAATATCACTCACCTTGCTGTGAGGGTCAGGACCTGGTAGTGGACGGAAGCGCCCCCGGCACTTACACCGAAGATGGCCACCTTGTTTGGGTCACCGCCGAATGTATGGATGTTGTCGTACCCAACGGAGCGCGTCTGGTCCTGAGCCCGAAATTGCCAGGGACTCCTGTCTCCGCTGTCGAAAGGAATCCCCTGCGGGGAACAACTCCGAACACAATACTGTAATTCACTGGTAACTCTGAAACCATATTTTCAGCCCACCTCGGTCGTGCTGGAATAGTAGTGTCCTTTTCTGGACGGGGCCCACTCTAACTATCACGGTAGGCAACACACGCACCAACACACACAGTCATAGTAATGGCTGTATAGATGATATTATGTATAAATATTGTATATGGCATTATATACTCTGCATTATCTTCATTATATATGAACACGAAGAAAAATTACTATAGGTTGTAGTTACGAAAGTATGGATGGAAATAAACACTCCAAACCACCCAGTGAATCCAAAACGTTTACAGCGCTTTTGTGGCCAGACCAATGATGATTCCACCACACCCCCATCTATATCTTTATTTCCCATCATTCGCGTAACTATATGAAAAATCGTGTATAATTTAACTACATATTTCAAAATCCTTAAATTACATGTGATCAGTCACTCCCTCATTTGACACAATTTATTGTGTAACACTTTTGACCATCTTACCTGGGGCAATATGGAGGCCTACTTGTAACCTTGCTAATGTATATATATATATATATATATATATATATATATATATATATATATATATATATATATATATATATATATATATATATATATATATATATATATATATATATATATATATATATATATATATTTCCTTTCCTCACCCTAGCAAACTAGTTAGCATAACCAAACAGCCTCGCAGAGGACCAGTAGGTCTGTATATATGTGTGCACGCCGCTAAAATGACCTAGTATATTTTACTAATGTCTCATTGTCCAGGTTTTCTACAGTTTTGCTGTGAGTTTTCTATTTTGTCTACCTGCCAGGTCAACAGGACTGCTAACCATCCTCCCAGCAACTCATATGCCATCCCAGACCCACAGCCTATATGTATGGTGCAAGACCGCAGTCCAATACATACAAGTCAGGCAGTCAAGCGTTGGTTTGAGGTGCACCCAGATTATTCTTTGACTGGCCCCTAAAGGAGCCGATTGTAATCCAATAGAAAATCTATGGGCACATAAGGTTGTTAATGGGATGTTGAGGAGAAAACGAGGAGTGAGGAGACACGTACATAATGTGTGGGAGGGAATAAGGAGGAGGCCGAACATCTGCAGCAATTTGGTAGATTCCATGCCCACCAGATTGCATGAAGTTATAGCAGCAGATGGAGGTTGAACACGGTATTAACCTGTGGTCAAGAATTAAATCTCGCCCACGACGGTGCCTTGTAGGTGGCGGGAGAGTTAGTCTCTGGTGTAACCTCGTTACACATAGACTTCGTTTCTAACTCTCGAATTTGCCCAGGTATTTACTATGGTTTACGTCACTGCATAAATATGCTTACAAAATCTACGCATTAATATGCATAACTCTTGGGAATCTGTCCAGACATTAAATATGTTATATACTACAATAATCACATAGATGTGTTTACAATGTTTATGCATAATAAATGTGAAAAATATTTGGGGTTTCGATTAACCAGTAGTCATGCCTACAAAACAATCTTGATGCTCTAAGTGCATGTGTTAAATAACGAGTAACTGATCCACATTATTTTGGTAAATAAAGAAATGAAAAGCAAGCACTTAGCCATATGGATATAATTACACGGAAGAAGGAAATAAGGATGAACCATGGTTTTGATGGAAACAATGTGCTCTGGGACGATGCTCACAATGACGAATGGGAGAAACCTCTTAATGAAATATCTTACCTACTAAGGATGAAGCTTAATGTTACAGAACACACACACACACACACACACACAGTGTAACTTTGTGACGCGTTATCTGACTTGGGGTGTCTTTGAGTGAACCATACACTTGATATTACAATTATGTATCCTCCTGTCCATGATTTACAACAATAACTGTAGGG